CTCTACCTCCCAGACTTCCACACCTGGACACAGGATTGAAGGTTCTGTCACACCCAAGACACTTTGGAACCTTCAAACTCCAGACCCCATTCCAGGACTACAAAATCCAGAGAAAACTTACAACACCGTTTTCTCTGCACACAATACACGATGGAGTTTCTCAAAGTGCATATTTGAGAATCATGTGTCATCCTTGCACCCCTTTCCTAACCTCACACTGTCAAAATATATACAGCGGGTAAAATAAGTATTGAACTTGTCAACATTATTTTCAGGAAATATATTGCTAAAGGTGCTATTGACATGAAATTTTCACCACATGTCGGTAACAACCCATGCAATCCATACATTCAAAGAAACCAAAACAAATACGTTTAGCAATTAAGCTATGTGTATTAAAATGGCATGACACTGGGAAAAGGTATTGAACACATGAAGAAAGGGAGGTGCAAAAAGTCATGGAAAGCTAAGCTGAAATCTATCAGTAATTAGAAAGCAATCCTGCCCGTTGTCAGTGCAAATTAATATCAGCTGGTTCAGTCTCAACTGATGGCTTATTATAAGGTGCCTCATTACCAAGGTGTCACACAAGAAACATCTAATGATGGGTGAAAGCAAAGAGCTCTCTGAAGGCCTTCGCAACCTTATTGTTGCAAAACATACTGATGGCATTGGTTACAGAAGGATTTCTAAACTTCTGAATGTTCCAGTGAGCACTGTTGGGGCCAAAATTTGGAAGTGGAAAAAACATAATTTTATCATAAACTGGCCATGACCAGGTGCTTCTCACATGATTTCTGATAGAGGAGTTATCAGAAGAGTTGTTCAAGAGTCAAGGACCACTTGTGGAGAGCTTCAGAAAGACCTGGAATTAGCAGGTACAATTGTTTCACAGAAAAGAATAAATAATGCACTCAACCACCATGGCCTGTATGCATGCCCACCACTCAAGACTCCATTGCCGAAGAAAAAGCATGTTGAAGCTCGGTTAAAGTTTGCTGCACAATATTTAGACAAGCCTGTGAAATACTGGGAGAATATAGTCTGGTCAGATGAGAGCAAAATTTAACGCTTTGGATGCCATAATACACACCATGTTTGGAGGTAAAATGGCACTGCACATCCCCCAAAAACACCGTACCAACAGTGAAGTTTGGAGGTGGGAACATCATGGTGTGGGGCTGTTTTTCAGCATACAGTACTGGCAAACTACATATCTTTGAAGGAAGGTTGAATGGAAAAATGTACCAAGGCATTCTTGATAAAAATCTGCTGTTATCTACCAGGATGACGAAGATGAAACAAGGGTGGACATTTCAGCAAGACAATGATCCCAAACACAAAGCCAAGGAAACTCTCAATTGGTTTCAAAGAAAGAAAATAAAGCTGCTAGATTTGCCCAGCTAATCACCTGATTTAAATCCAAGAGAAAATCTATAGAAAGAACTAAAGATCAGAGTTCATAGAAGAGACCCATGGAACGGAACCTTCAAGATTTGAAAACTATGTGGAAGAATGGGCCAAAATCACACCTGAGCAATGCATGCGACTAGTTTCTTAATTCAAGAGGCATCCTGAAGCTTGGCATTGTTTTATAAGTGACCCTGTGGTGACATGGTTACTTTTTTCTTTCTTTATAGCTTTATGTTTGTTACGAGCAACAGCTGCCCATAAAAAATATGGGCGTGGGCTGGCTTCAGAACTGCCCATGCTCAGTTCTGAAACTGGCCAGGCTCAGACGGGGGCATTGCGCGCGGTGATGTCATAGTGCCGCGTGTCACCTTTTCTGAATCACAGCAGGACTGTAGAGTGAACCAGGATTCGGAGGCTGGAGAGTCACTGTTGGACACTGGAGGAGAAGAGGACAGACAAAGGTGGTGATGAGGAGCCGCTGGCACTGAGCTGCCCAGACAGGACCATGTCTGACTGCCCTGCTGCACCTGAGCGAGCAAAGGAGAAGGTCCGGTCAGTGACAGCTCCCAGGCAGCCAGGCCACACAAAGTGTGCAGTGACTGTGGTGGGGAGGGTCACTGATGTAAGGAGGGAGTGAATAATACACTAAGATAAGGTGGGGACACTGATATAAAGGTTCCCACTTTTATCAGTAACCCACCTTGCCTTCGTGTTTTCACTTTGCGGAAGGTGGTCTGTGGTCTCCAGAGTCCTCCCCCGCCCCCACCCACATCCTGGTGTTCCCCTGTAAATCCTCAGAGTTTTCCTTTACATCAGTCTACAGACTTCCCCCTTATAGTGCAAGGGGGAACTCTGATGTAAAGGGAGGCTCTGGTGACCAGAGACCACCTTACATCAGAGTTCCCTCTTACACCAGAGCCCAAAGCATTTTCCCTTACATTATGATCCACAGCTTTTCCCTTTCCATCAGCGTTCCCCTTTACATGATCCAGTTGACCCAGGGAATATCTGATTGCCTCTCGGGGGATCAGGAAGGTTTTTTTCCCTGCAGGAGCAAATTGGACCATGCTTTGCTGGTTTTTTTTTTTTGCCTTCCTCTGGACCAACTGTGGGTATAGGATTATACCGGTTTCTTTTTTTTTTAAAATGGTTGAACTGGATGGACTTTTGTCTTTTTTCTGCCAGACTAATATTGTAACTATGTAACATAATGGTCTGCAGAGGTTCCCCTTGCACTGTAAGAGGGAACTCTGTGGACTCTTGTGTAAGGACTAGGGGGGTTTGATGATCAGAGACCCCCTTACATCAGAGTTTCCTTTACACCAGAGTCCATAGCTTTCCCCCCCTTACATCAGAGTCCTCAGAGTTCTCCTTTACTTCGTAATCCACAGAGTTCCCCCTTGTACTGTAAAGGGGAACCCCACAGACTCTGATGTAGGGGGAACTCTGTGCTGGGTTATATTAACCTGACCTTCATGTAAAAAGATGAATATGTGTTTTGCCTTTTGATATACGCTAACCACATTGCTAATCACACTAGCTACATGTTTGTAGCTTAAATATTGATATTCACTCTAAAAACGATCATTTTGTCTAGCTTTTTGAACTCTCAGTAAATCTTTTGTGTTGCGTCAGTAAGTTTCACTTTGGGTGGCTGGCAACTCTGGAGGCCACTGTCTGCACTCTGCATTACTTACTCCTGAAGTCTGCCCTCAGCGTGAATGACTCCTGATCCCCGCGCCCTGCATTACTTACTCCTGAAGTCTGCCCTCAGCGTGAATGACTCCTGATCCCCGCGCCCTGCATTACTTACTCCTGAAGTCTGCCCTCAGCGTGAATCGAACCAGGCGAACCGGAATTCGAGTCGAATTTCAGGAAATATTCGATTCGCGGCGAAACCGAAATTTTGCCTACTTCGGGTGCGCGAATCGAACATTTCCCGATCAGCCGGCAAAAGTGTCCCTGCAGTGAGCTCCGCTATTTCTGACAGTTCTCTGACAGAAGGAACACATGTTTAGCGGTTGAAACATTGTATCTATTAGTTTACATTTAGGATACAGATGTTTCAACCACTGTTCATGTGAAGAAGCTGTGAGAGAACTGTCAGAAATAGAGGAACTCTGCACATACACTTTTTGCCGGCTTGGAATTATTCTTCTTTTCATCCTACTTCTTCTTCTTCTTCATGTATGTGCAGAGTTCCTCTATTTCTGACAGTTCTCTCACAGCTTCTTCACATGTACAGCGGTTGAAACATCTGTATCCTAAATGGAAACTAATAGATACAATTTGTGTATCTATTAGTTTCCATTTAGGATACAGATGTTTCAACCGCTGTACATGTGAAGAAGCTGTGAGAGAACTGTCAGAAATAGAGGAACTCTGCACATACACTTTTTGCCGGCTTGGAATTATTCTTCTTTTCATCCTACTCTTCTTCTTCTTCTTCTTCTCTTCATCTTCATCCTCATCCTCATCCTCTTCTTCTGAGGATGAGGATGAGGATGAAGAAGAAGAAGAAGCAGTAGGATGAAAATAAGAATAATTCCAAGCCGGCAAAAAGTGTATGTGCAGAGTTCCTCTATTCTGCAGATACACTTAGAGGAGCTCATCTTATTTTCATCCTACTTCTTCTTCTTCTTCTTCTTCTTCTTTATCCTCATCCTCAGAAGAAGAAGAAGAAGAGGATGAAGAAGAAGAAGAAAGAAGAAGAAGTAGGATGAAAATAAGAATAATTGCAAGCCGGCAAAAAGTGTATGTGCAGAGTTCCTCTATTCTGCAGATACACTTAGAGGAGCTCAGATACACTTAGAGGAGCTCTGCACATACACTTTTTGCCGGCTTGGAATTAATCTTATTTTCATCCTACTTCTTCTTCTTCTTCTTCTTCTTCATCCTCATCCTCATCCTCAGAAGAAGAAGAAGAGGATGAGGATGAGGATGAAGAAGAAGAAGAAGAAAGAAGAAGAAGTAGGATGAAAATAAGAATAATTCCAAGCCGGCAAAAAGTGTATGTGCAGAGCTCCTCTAAGTGTATCTGCAGAGCTCCTCTAAGTGTATCTGCAGAATAGAGGAACTCTGCACATACACTTTTTGCCGGAAACCGCTGTATGGAGGGAATGTCCCAGAACTGTCATAAATAGTCTATTTCTGACAGTTCTGGGACATTCACTCCATACAGCTGTTTCAACCGCTGTATGGAGGGAATGTCATAGAACTGTCAGAAATAGACTATTAATGACAGTTCTGGGACTGTCCTTCCATACAGCGGTTGAAACATTGTATCTATTTGTTTCCATAAATGGATCCATTTATGGAAACAAATAGATACAATGTTTCAACCGCTGTATGGAAGGACAGTCCCAGAACTGTCATTAATAGTCTATTTCTGACAGTTCTATGACATTCCCTCCATACAGCGGTTGAAACAGCTGTATGGAGTGAATGTCCCAGAACTGTCAGAAATAGACTATTTATGACAGTTCTGGGACATTCACTCCATACAGCGGTTGAAACATTGTATCTATTTTTTTCCATAAATGAGAATTATTCTTATTTTCATCCTACTTCTTCTTTTTCTTCTTATGAGGATGAGGATGAAGAAGAAGAAGTAGGATGAAAATAAGATTAATTCCAAGCCGGCGGCAAAAAGTGTATCTGCAGCGCTCCTCTAAGTGTATTTGCAGAATGTCATTTATGGAAAAAAATAGATACAATGTTTCAACCGCTGTATGGAAGGACAGTCCCAGAACTGTCATAAATAGTCTATTTCTGACAGTTCTGGGACATTCACTCCATACAGCTGTTTCAACCGCTGTATGGAGGGAATGTCATAGAACTGTCAGAAATAGACTATTAATGACAGTTCTGGGACTGTCCTTCCATACAGCGGTTGAAACAGCTGTATGGAGTGAATGTCCCAGAACTGTCAGAAATAGACAGAAACTGTCACAGAACTGTCCTTCTTCTCATCCTTCTCCTTCTTCTCATCCTTCTTCTCATCCTTCTTCTCATTCTTCTTCTCATCCTTCTTCTTCTCATCCTTCTCCTTATTCTCATCCTTCTCCTTCTTCTCATCCTTCTCCTTCTCCTTCTTCTCATCCTTCTCCTTCTTCTCATCCTTCTCCTTCTCCTTCTTCTCATCCTTCTCCTTCTCCTTCTTCTCATCCTTCTCCTTCTCCTTCTTCTCATCCTTCTCCTTCTCCATCTTCTCATCCTTCTCCTTCTTCTCATCCTTCTCCTTCTCCTTCTTCTCATCCTTCTCCATCTTCTCATCCTTCTCCTTTTCCTTCTTCTCATCCTTCTCCTTCTGCTTCTCCTTCTTCTCATCCTTCTCCTTCTTCTCATCCTTCTCCTTCTTCTCATCCTTCTCCTTCTTCTCATCCTTCTCCTTCTTCTCATCCTTCTCCTTCTCCTTCTTCTCATCCTTCTCCTTCTCCTTCTTCTCATCCTTCTCCTTCTCCATCTTCTCATCCTTCTCCTTCTCCTTCTTCTCATCCTTCTCCTTCTTCTCATCCTTCTCCTTCTCCTTCTTCTCATCTTCTCCTTCTTCTCATCCTTCTCCTTCTCCTCATCCTTCTCCTTCTCCTTCTTCTCATCCTTCTCCTTCTCCTTCTTCTCATCCTTCTCCTTCTTTCTCATCCTTCTCCTTCTCCTCATCCTTCTCCTTCTCCTTCTTCTCATCCTTCTCCTTCTCCTTCTTCTCATCCTTCTCCTTCTCCTTCTTCTCATCCTTCTCCTTCTTCTCATCCTTCTCCTTCTCCTTCTCCTTTCTCATCCTTCTCCTTCTCCATCTTCTCATCCTTCTCCTTCTCCATCTTCTCATCCTTCTCCTTTTCCTTCTTCTCATCCTTCTCCTTCTGCTTCTCCTTCTCCTTCTCCGTCTTCTCATCCTTCTCCTTCTCATCCTTCTCCTTCTTCTCATCCTTCTCCTTCTTCTCATCCTTCTCCTTCTTCTCATCCTTCTCCTTCTTCTCATCCTTCTCCTTCTTCTCATCCTTCTCCTTCTTCTCATCCTTCTCCTTCTCTTCTTCATCCTTCTCCTTCTCCTTCTTCTCATCCTTCTCCTTCTCCTTCTTCTCATCCTTCTCCTTCTTCTCATCCTTCTCCTTCTTCTCATCCTTCTCCTTCTTCTCCTTCTTCTCATCCTTCTCCTTCTTCTCATCCTTCTCCTTCTTCTCATCCTTCTTCTCATCCTTCTCCTTCTTCTCATCCTTCTCCTTCTCCTTCTTCTCATCCTTCTCCTTCTCCTTCTTCTCATCCTTCTCCTTCTCATCCTTCTCTTTCTTCTCATCCTTCTCTTCTTCATCCTTCATCCTCATCCTTCTCCTTCTTCTCATCCTTCTTCTCCTTCTCCTTCTCCTTCTTCTCATCCTTCTCCTTCTCCTTCTTCTCATCCTTCTCCTTCTTCTCATCCTTCTCCTTCTCCTTCTTCTCATCCTTCTCCTTCTTCTCATCCTTCTCCTTTCTCTTTCCTCATCTCCAAGGGCATTTAAATTAAAGGTACAGTGTTCTGCACTAATTTAAAGGCTCTCTGAAGCCTAGAAACCCTTTTTATAAGTCATCTTCGTAGCGAAGAAATTCGCATCGAATCGAATTTCACACTGGAATTCGCCGAATCAGCCGAATCGAATTTTTGAGAAATTCGCTCATCTCTACTCCTGATCCCCGCGCCCTGCATTACTTACTCCTGAAGTCTGCCCTCAGCGTGAATGACTCCTGATCCCTGCATTACTTACTCCTGAAGTCTGCCCTCAGCGTGAATGACTCCTGATCCCGCGCCCTGCATTACTTACTCCTGAAGTCTGCCCTCAGCGTGAATGACTCCTGATCCCCGCGCCCCTGCATTACTTACTCCTGAAGTCTGCCCTCAGCGTGAATGACTCCTGATCCCCGCGCCCTGCATTACTTACTCCTGAAGTCTGCCCTCAGCGTGAATGACTCCTGATCCCCGCGCCCTGCATTACTTACTCCTGAAGTCTGCCCTCAGCGTGAATGACTCCTGATCCCTGCATTTACTTACTCCTGAAGTCTGCCCTCAGCGTGAATGACTCCTGATCCCCGCGCCCTGCATTACTTACTCCTGAAGTCTGCCCTCAGCGTGAATGACTCCTGATCCCCGCGCCCTGCATTACTTACTCCTGAAGTCTGCCCTCAGCGTGAATGACTCCTGATCCCTGCATTACTTACTCCTGAAGTCTGCCCTCAGCGTGAATGACTCCTGATCCCTGCATTACTTACTCCTGAAGTCTGCCCTCAGCGTGAATGACTCCTGATCCCCGCGCCCTGCATTACTTACTCCTGAAGTCTGCCCTCAGCGTGAATGACTCCTGATCCCTGCATTACTTACTCCTGAAGTCTGCCCTCAGCGTGAATGACTCCTGATCCCTGCACCCTGCATTACTTACTCCTGATCCCTGCACCCTGCATTGTCCTAAACAAAATGTATATCCCTCTGATAATGTGATCCCGATCATTCCAAGTCCAGTCTAACAAGATTTAGCTGGGGTCATCTTTGATCTCTTCCATATTGTTCAGGTATATATCTCCACCTCCCCAGGGTTGCCTACCCCGGCTTTAAACAGTTTACTTTCAGCTCCGTGCAGCAAACTAAATCTCACAGTCCACTACAAGCCCAGTGTGGGGCCACACACCTCTGTATGTTCACGTAGCACAATGTTGAAAGATAAATAGCAGGATGTCGTAGATCTGCAGCCAACCGCAAGGTGGCAGGCTTTTGCCAAAACTACGCTCGTCTATTTTTGCATGCGAACAATGTAGTCAATAAAGTTTGGTGTGGGATATTGAAGAGAAAAAAATTCAAGTTGTTGGCGGCAGGGGAGCGGAGGAGAGATCCGTGGACGCGACAGGTGGGTTCCCGGGGCTCCCCCCCCCCCCCCCCCCCCCCAATATCACCTCCGCAGGGCCCGGTATATCGGTGTAGTGCGACCTTCCCCTGACAATGTGTCTTCTACCAGCCGGGCTTTTCTGTGTCCGTAACCCGCATCCCCCCTGTACACAGCTCTGTATTGTCCTCACTATACACACCGGACACTCCTCTCTCCCTGCATGCCCTGTACCCAGGGACGGACTGACAACTCATGGGCCCCCTGTGTCCTTGTCCAAACTCAAAAAAGCCTATGAAAAAGGTACTAGGGGCATCTCATGGGGCCCCCTACTGACCCCGGGCCCTCGGGCAGTGCCTGAGTTTCCAAATGGTCAGTCCGCCCCTGACTGTACCCCTACCACTGCAGCCGCTGTACCCCTTCCTTTGGCCCCCTCCCGCCATACTCCTCCCTCTGCAGCCACTGTACCCCTTCCTTTGCCCCCCCCCCCCCCGTATCCCTCCCGCCATACTCCTCCCTCTACAGCCGCTGGATCCCTTCCTTTGCCCCCCCCCCGTATCCCTCCCGCCATACTCCTCTCTCTGCAGCCGCTGTACCCCTTCCTTTGCCCCCCCCGTATCCCTCCCGCCATACTCCTCTCTCTGCAGCCGCTGTACCCCTTCCTTTGCCCCACTGTACCCCTCCTGTCATATTCCTCCCTCTGCAGCTGCTGTACCCCTTCCACCCCCTGCGTACACCTTCCTTTGCTGTACTCGTTCTCCCCGTACCCCTTCGCCCCCCTCCCCAATTTCCATCCCTTCGTACCCCTTCCTCCACATCCCCCTTGTGTCCACTCTACCATTTCCTGTACCCCGTCCGCCTCATCCACTGTACCCCTTCCTCCACATCCCCCCCCTTACCCCTCCCTCTGTTGTATCCCTTCCTGCTCCCCCAAACGTCTTCCTGTGCCCCCGTCTGCTATATCCCCTCCTCTGCCCCCATACCCTTCCCTTCATGTCTGCTTTCCCACCCCTTTCCGCTGCACCCCCTCCCTTCACATTCCCCGCACCCCCCCTCTCTCTCTGCGCATCCCCTGTTCACTTCCCTACGCATCCCCTCTACAGTCAGAGGGGTACAGTCTTGTCCTTGTGCTTCCAGTAATGTGATGCCAACACTAACCACAGGCTCCTTCTATTGTAGTTTAGTTGTTGCCCCTCGTGTACTTTTGTGCGCTTTGATTAGAACACACTATGTGCCTTTAGGGTCCTGTAGTCACAGCGTTGCATCAAGCCATATATAAATGCTGCTCTGCTCTGTCCTGAACTGCTTGTTTGCCATCAAATCCAATGGGGAAGCTTGTGGTGAAAAGATCACTGTGCAGACTTGGAGTAGTGTATCAGCAGAAGATTCATAGCTCTGAAAAAAGCTTCACCAACATCGTGGCTGTGTTACCTGCTACTGCAATTGTTTTCTTGGGTTTTCTTCCCAAACCCATGACATGGCACTTTGCAAAGACATAAATCCGCCCTTAGTTTGCTAAAGCAGTGCACCGGACCAACTTTCTGATGGTGACAACAGTGGAACATGCCAGTGCAATGTGTGTAGGTAAGGGCACTTGAAGTTCCATCAGGATTGTTGACAAGACATCTGTTACCCTATAGCAGGAAGTGCTGAACAAAGACTTAATGGCAGGATCACCAGGTATTTATTTATTGGAAGATTGAAAACAACTTGTAAGACCATGTGCACACTCCAGTGTGTCATCGTACATTATAAGGCAGCCCATTCGTTTTGAATGAGCGTATAATGCACCCAGCGCTGTCAAAACTGCATCTAACCTTTTTCGGGAACACGCGGTAGTGCATTTCAGCATACTGCAGAACAGCTCATGATTCGCTGAGTCTGTAAGTATGTTAATTGGGGACAACCCAGCATAAAAGAGGGGGCTGAACACAGGCTTGACAAAGCTCCTCTTTAACTTTAATTACAATTGTCTTGAGGAATATTATATTCTGATAAATGTATGTGGTTAAAACGTATAAAGATAGCATTCAGTATATTTAATCCTTCTTTGCTTCACAATCCCTTATCTTTTTCTTTGCATTTACACGTAGACCAAGTTGTCCA